CCCGCTCTTCGGTTGCTGTTCTGCCTTCGTTTCCGGAGTCCCACCCTTCGGTCTTTTTTCTGCCCTCGTCGTCGGTGCTCCACTCTTCGGCCGTTGTTCTGCCTTGGTCGTCGAAGTCCCATCCTTCGGTCGCTTTTTTGCCTTCGTCATCGGAGTACCACTCTTCGGTCGCTGTTCTGCCTTTGTTGTCGAAGTTTCATCATTTGGTCGCTGTTCTGTCTTCGTTGCCGGGGTACCATTCTTCGGTCGTTGCTTTGCCCTCTTCGTCTCGGTTGCATCCTTCTGTTGTTGTCCTCTCCTCGTTGTCGTGGTTCCATCTGCCGGCCGTTGTTTTGTCTGCATCGTCACGGCTCCTTCTTTCGGTGGTTGTTGTTTTCTCGTCATCGGGGTTCCGTCCTTCGGTGGTTGCCCTGTCCTCGTCGTTGGAGTAACATCTTTCAATCCTTGTTCTCTCCTCGTCACCGTGGTTTCGTCCTTCGACGGTCGTCCTCTCCTCGTTATTGCGCTTCCGTCCTTCGATCGTGGTTTTGCCCTTGTCACTGGGATTGGGGTTCCAGCCTGAGGAGCACTGCAGGAACCGTCAGCAGTATGTCGACCAGCAGAAGCACGAATCTCGACCCGTTGCAAACGCGAAACCCCATTTTTTGTCAGTCGCTGCCATACAACTGCCGATTGCTCATCTTCCTGATCAATGCATTTATTTGTGGTACAGAAGGAGTCTTCCCTCTCCGCACCAATTGCGGTGAGCAACTTCGGCAACGTTGAATCAGATGTCCGACAACGACCCTCATGTGGCGCTTGAACCAGCCGTGGTTTCTTGCAGTGTCGTTGTCGCCAAATAACGTGTTTCCCGTCTTTATGTGGTGATATAGGTCTGTCTTCATCATCTACGTAGTAGTCCGACGTTGGATCAAGAAGAAACATCGAGCTGTTCTGAGGATCTCTGTAATTGAGTGGTGGAAGCCAAAACGATGATTCCGGTGAATTTGAGAGGCCTGGTTCTGCCATGTAAAATTTCGACGGCAATAAACTGCGAGAATCTGAACTGCATGTTTCTGCTGGGCTTAACTTCGGCCTCGATTCCGGCGAGAGTTCTCGTTCATCCTCGATAATATAGGGTGGCAACGAAGAATGGAATCGGTACCAGCGTGAAGTCTTTACTGGTGGTACTGCTGCTGCATATGTCCAAAGCATTTCATCTGCCGATAACACCTGTGGGCGATTCGAAGAGTGATTCACATGATGTTTCGGTTCGGTACCACTCTTGGGAAAACGTTCAAATCGTGAGCTTCTTGGTGGTTGCCAATTCGTCGTTCGTTTCCACAGGATAAACTTCGATGGTCCGATTTTCTCCTCCATCGGCATAGCTGCAGTGGACAGATGCGTCGCCAGTGACTCCATTTTCTCTTCATTTGTTTCCTGACCCGAAATGCATGTACTAGAGAAACGCGTTTCCTCGACTGAAAGATTTTTGCTCTTAAACGACTCCTCAGCACGAAGACTTGCAGTGGACAAATGCGTGGTCAGCGACTCTACTTTTTCCTCAAGCGGCGTCTCGTTCGAAATACGTACATTGGCGAGGCGCATAGCCAGCAATTCCACTTTCTCCTCGAACGTTCCCTTGTCAGAAACATTTGCAGTGGACAGATTCTTGGTCGCCGACTTCTTATCC